TATTTGCGGTTACATATGTCAATAAAAATCCTCTGCTGATTTAAGCTTATTTGAATCTTGTTGTGTGTTGCTTACAACCAGAAGAGCTCTCATTGATAAAGGAAAAAGCAGAGTTGAATGAGTCAAGAAGCCCATTTTCTGGCCCCCGCCTCTGTCCTGGTGGGAGATTAACTGTTTTCAAGGTGAAACCAGCACTCTGTCTGCTTGGAATTCTGGGGATTCCTGCCCCTCTGAACTGAGTGGATAACTGAATTTTACCTGAGACTAGAGGTTGCCTCTGGGGCCACCATAACCACCTGGCTGAGGGGACAGAGCCCAAGTACTAATAGGAAGGAGCAGCCCCTCTTTGTCTCTTATATATGAGGTTCAACCTTGGTGCCCTGCAGAGGACCAGGGCGTCTGCAGCAGTGCCTTGAGCATTGAGCCCCTGCTCTGAAAGGCACAGGGCTACTGAACACTCTAGAAGGAAAGAACGCTTATAAATTCATATATGTTATGGGCTGAACTGTGCACCCTCCAATTGTTGAAGTTGTAAGCCCCGGTACCTTAGAATGTGACTATACTTAGAAATACATCTTCAAAGAGGTGAAATGAGGTTATTTGTGTGGGCCCTAATTCAATATGACCTGGTCCTTATAAAAAGAGGAAATTCAGGGAAGGAGATATATATATATATATATATATATATAGAGAGAGAGAGAGAGAGAGAGAGAGAGAGAGAGAGAGAGGGAGAGAGAGGGAGGGAGGACAAAGCAGGGACACAGGGAGAAGATGGCCACCTATAAGCTGTCTTGTGCTCTTTGAGCAGAGGGACAGAAAACAAAAGAACTCTGTGGATATGTTAATCTTGGACTTCATCCTCCAGAAGTGTGAAAAAATAAATTTATTTAGTTTAAACTACTTGGTATATGGTACTTTGTTATGACAGCTCTAACAAATAAGTAGAATATATAAAATAATTTCTATATAAATAAAAATAAATACATACTCTTAAAGGTATCGTATATATATAAATATGTGTGTGTTTACATCTGTGCGCTTTAGCCACACACCCGTATATCCACATTTCTATGGTGTTTTTTTTTTCAAATGTAGATTGAACCCAGAGCCTTCACACTGAGTTACGTCCCACTTTTCTTTCCTTTTCTCTCTTGGACAGGGATTCTCAAAGTCACCAGGTTGCCCCAGATGGGCTATAACTTGCTGTCCTGGCATTCGAGGTTGCCTTCCTCTTCAGATCCTACCAACAGTGCTCTTCCCCAGAGCCCCGGCTTCCCAACTCCATCTCTCCTCACTCCATTGCACTCCTAGCTCCCAGCCCAGGGCCTTGCCTAGGCTCCGCCTTCCTCTGCAAGGCTGCAGAAATGGCACCTCATCGGCAAAGCTTTCATGAACTTTACAAGAGACGGCGAGCCACTTCCTTCTCTCCCAGCATTCTGCACACACCTCTCTTGAGACATTTATCCCATGGTGAGGTAGTTATTCGTGTAGGGTCACCCCACCCCTCACCCCGCAGGCTCCTACCCGAGGAACTGGTCCCTGCCCGCGTAGCTCAGGCACAGTCCTCGCCCCTCGCAGACAAGACTTCGCGGTGGCCACAGAGAGGCAGAACGCGGTGGGTGGGGCGCCTCGTGGCGGGGGGGGGGGGCGCCTCGGTTCCAGGTGGGTGGGGCGCCTGGAATCTGGCAGCAGGTTGGGGGGGTCGCTGTCCCGCCCCTCCCGCGGGGATCGGAGGAGCGAGTAGGTGCGTTCCACCGCACTGGGAGCCAGACTGATCCTGATGGGACAAACAAAAGCCCGGAGTTAAACGTCGTAGGGGAGAGAATTGCAGGAGCTCACGACAGCAAATTAGGCGTTTAAAGCCAAGCGCAGTGACTTTCGGAGATTAAATGCATTATAGATTTGCTAAACTAGAGGCGAGCCAAAGAAAAAGTAGACAGATCATTGCTACCCTTCAGGCACCCAGGCGGGCGGGGGACGCGGAGGCCCTGGTTCAATCACGCCAGCACGAATGCAAGACACGCGGGCTTAATTTTTCATTTGTAATCAAGGCCACGTCCCCAGTTCTCGTAGTCCCAGAAACACCGGTCCTTCCTCGGGTTTCTTTCACAGGCAGAGAAGAAAAAATTATCCAGATAATGGTGCTGATTATGGGATGGCAAGTGGCTGGGAAGCGCAGCAGATGCTTACAGATGAGGAAGCGCACAGAGCCCAGGCCCTGACCTTTGGCATAGTCCCAGGTCCCCATACTCCAGGGAACTGCAGCTGGAGGTCTTAGGTCTCAACCCGGAGGGGAGGGGAGACCACCTGCTTCGGGAGGCTCCTTTGGACTTCTTGGGAAGTTCTTCTTTTCTTTCACTTCATCGCAACCCTTTGTATAATCCAAGAAAAAAGAACAAGACCATTCCAAAATGCAGAAAATTCAGGGAAGGCTGTGGCCCAGAGCAGGTGAGAAAACAGAAGGGATCTTGGGAGCCAAACACAGGGCATCCAAGGGCAGGGGACCTTCCTGGTCCCTGCCCCTGCCTCTGAGGCACTTCCGGGAGTCTGGGGAGGTCACGACCTCTCTGGCCTCCATCCTCTGCAGCCCAAGAGCACAAGCAGCACCCAGAGAACCTGCTTTTCTGTGTCTCACAGCTTGGAGGGGACAAGATAAAAGTCCGTGTGCTCCTGAAGTAGTATCACAAGGGACTGGGTGATTCTCAATCTCTTCTGAAATCAGACAAAAGAAAATTAACTCAAGTTGCAGCTTGAGGGACTCAGATTAGACCTGAAAAAAAGAATTATCACAGAGGGGAGTTGTTAAAACATGAAATTGGATACAACAGGAGGTTTCAAAACCTCCTTTTCTCTAGAATTTTAAAACTCACAGCCAAGATAGACTATGCATGTGACCCTCAGAGGGCAGACGGGCCCCACCGTGTGCTCAACTTCCTCACCTGACTTAATTATATCTACCATTTATCAAGTCCCTCCTACAGGCCTGACAGGCATCCAGGCACTCTGGATATTCTGTGTCATATAATCCTAGATTCACACCTAGCAGGTGGTATTATAGCCCTAAAATAAGGACACAGAAGTTTGGTGGCATTGCCAAGGTCACCATTGTCTGTACATAGGTTGCATCTGAACTGAAATCACACTCTGTCCGAGGCACACATTCTCTCTCCCTAGAAAGAGGTAGGGGCATTTCTGTACAGCCTTAAGGGCTACAGTCTGGGGGGTGTGTCCTGTATGCCCTCTTTGCAAAGGTGGCTGCAGAGCCCTGGGCTGGGGTTGTGCACATGAAGAGGAGCCTCATGGGCTCCTGATAAGCAGGAAGCACCTGGTCCCAGGACTTCAGAGATGAGACAGCAGCACTGACAGCAGCCACCTGTGATCAAATATTCCTTTTGCTCCCTTCCAGGCTTAGAGATTTGCTGCCACAAAGCCGTGTGCTTCCTGTCAGTGTGGTGGTGCAGGCCATTAAATCCTGGGAGAGAGAAGAGGGGCCATCAGCCCTCAAAAGATAAGGAAGGGGTAGCACAGATCCCCATTCATGGCCCTGGGAGCTTGATACCCAGATCCATGCCCTGGGCAGTTCTCACAAGAGAACCACTCCAGCACTGACTTCCAGAAAAAACATCCCAACTGCCCCTCCTTTCCCCAACTGACTGGTTCCCATAGGAACAGGAGGCCAGTATAGGTGCTAAGTGAGGACCTCAGGCCAGAGGCTGCAGATGATCAAGCAGACAGGAGCATGTTGCTTCCTGACCCACCAACTCTTAGTCACTTCCTTTATCCTCAGTTTCCTCACCTGGAAATGGCAACAATGACAATACCTGGGAAAGGTGGATGAGTTGAGGCATCCAAAGTGGTTGGAACTGTGTCTGCCATGTGCAGAATGTGCTCTGTGTTAAGTGCTGCCGTTGTTATTATACCTCCCCTGTGAGACAGCAGCAGAGGAGGATGCAGAGTAAATGCAATCGCAGAAGAAACAAAGGAGATGCCTGTTTTCCTTTGTAGCTTAATCTCTTACCAGAAGGCTGCCCTAGTGTGCTGCTGGGGGGTAGATCTCACGCTTCCTTAGGCAAGGGCCTTGCTATATGCCACAGGCAGGGAGACAGGACTGGGATCAGAAGGATCCCCAACTGGTCTCAAGTTAGCTTGAAAGCCCCCTATTCTGGTACTTTCTTATTCCAGGGCAGATAGGAGGGCTGTTTGATGTGCACCCCCGAGAAGACTGCAGAGAGCTAGCATATTAGGGTTGGTTACCTGTGCTGCCCCCCCCGCCCGCTTCTTTCCCTCCTCTCCTTCCTTCCTTCTTATTTTAATTTTTTACTGAGTCTCAATTCTCCTTGTCCCTTCTCCTCTTCCATGGCTGACACAGAAGCACACACCTACAAAAGCAGAAACCAGCTTCAGCTTTTTAGGGACAGTGTGGGAGGGGGGACCTGTAGAATTACCAGGTCAGATCTGGTGCCCGGAAGGGGGTTGCTTATTGCTTTGGTCAGTGTGGGCAGCTTTTACAAATACCATAGACTGAGTGGTTTAAACAGCAGATATTTATTCCGCAGTTCTCAGGGCTGGGTAGTCATAGATGAGAGTTCAGTGAGATTCGGTTCTTGGTGAGATTCCCCTCACTGGGCAGAGACAGCAAGCTCTGGTTCCTTCACCACCTTCCAAGGGCACCATCCATCATGGGGGCTCCACCCTCCTAGCTTCATCCAAAGACCCCGCCCCAAATGCTATCACACTGGAGATTAGGACTTTAACAGATGAGCTTTTTCTTTGGGGTGGGGGACACAAATATTAGTCCATAGTGCTTATTAATACAGAAGGTTCTTGTTCATGGAGAAGTAGAGGGTTCATTTTCACCAAGTCCCTATGGAAATGCTATTTGGGCTGGGTGGCCCTGGGCAACAAGCAACCAGATGCCCTCAGGTTCCTGAGGGGCTTGTAGGGTGGAAGCTGGAGGAAGGAGAGGGTGCAGCTCGGAGCCCTGTGTTCCCCTTCTCCCAACCTGGGCCTAAATGGCTGTGCATTTCATAAAGCCCTCCTAGCACCAGAAAGATGACTTCCTGCTGTCCAGGTGCCTCTGTGTATCTATTTAAGAGGCAGCATGGAGGCCAGAGAGCAAGCAAAGAGTCAGGGTGAGAGAGAGAACTGGCCCGTGTGTGTTCTCGTGTGAGTGGGCAGATCTGATTGACAAGATCTGGGAACACAGCTCCTGGATTCAATCAGTCTCTGCTCCCTGGCAAACAGTTCTGAGAGGCAATTAAGTGAGATTGGAAGGGGCACTGGGGAGGGAGGCGAGGGGCGGGTGCTAGGAGAGGGCTGCAAACAGATGGGGCCCCTGGCTCTGGCCACAGCCCTTCTCTGCCATTTCTGGGGCCAGGGGCTAGGAGAGAGAGGGGCATTGTGACATCACATCTGGGACCGACCTGGCTCAGTGCCTTGGGTTCAGGTCAGCTCTAACCCAGCTACAGAGGTTGGACTCAGGAAGCTATGTGGAATGCAGTCCTTTCCTGGCACACAGTAGATGGCCAGCAGATGGCAGAGGTTCTGGCTCCCCCTGGTGAGGGTGTGACTGTTCCTCTTGCTGTCCTCAGCCCCACCCTTCCTCGTGGGAACTTGATGAGTCCTGGGGACCAGAGCAAGCAGGATGAGTGCCTCTCCCGGGCGGCCCTGCTCCGCACTGCAGATGGGCATCTGGAGAATCCCAGCAAGACATTTCCAGGATGCCAGTGCTGCCTTTCCATGGCTGTGTACCCTGACCTGCTCTGGCAGTTCTTCTACTTCTCATGAAGTTTGTGGAGAGCTTTTTACTCAGCCAGAGACAGAGACAGAGCTCTGGGTTCGAGAGCCCTGAGCTATATCTCTGCTTTCCAGCCCTTGCTCTGCAGTCACGACACTGGGTCGTGGCTGCCACCAGCGTCTGCACTGCCCCTCCTACCTCCCACAGAGACCTTGTCTCACAGCAAGGCCCCGTGGGAGGGAGGGATGGCTCCATGCTGGACCAGGCAGGGGAGCAGTTTCCAGATGTCACCAGGTCCAAAGACTGGGCAGTCAGCTGTGCCGCCCTTAGCTTTATAGGCGCACAGTTCCATCATGAGTACTCTCAATGCAGGGACCCTCTCCTTATTCTATCACCTGTTATACTGAATAGTTATGCTTTTCTTTCCCCACATAAGCCTCCCGAGAACAGAAACTGTGTTATTATTTTTTTAACTTCTGTCTCTTCAACACTTAGAAGAGTGCTGGGCACGTAACAGATCTCAGTAAAAATTATTGAGGGAACGAAGGCACAAATGAGGCAGTATTATTATCCCATCCCACCCCCATTTTATAGATGGTGAAACTGAAGTGGAGATGGGTAGATGAACTCGCTCCCAAGCATGCATCCTAGTTTTAAACTGTTAGTAAGGCACGCTTAGCAACAACCAATACTCCCCAGAGTTCTTCTATTAGTCTGCACTGCTTTCTTCACACAAGAATGGACCATCTCCACCAGGAAGATCAGCTGGGAAACTCATTCCTATGGATTCCTCTCCAGGTGAAGTGGGTGGGTCTGGGAAGCTCCATCTTGGAGGGAAAGGCTTCGCCTCCTGCTGAGATGCCATTGGTTGCCTTCTTTGTACATCTGTCTTCCATGAGTAGGGGAGGGAGGTTTTAAATTATTTCAGCTATAGATCTCACAATTACTTTTCCTCTCTCTAATTTGGATGTTAATGTATTAGCTACAGCTTTGCCTTCTAGGCTAGAAATTGTCCACCCCAAAATTATACATCCAGATAGAGTAGTGTTCATTAAAGTAAGATTAGGAGAGGATAATATGTGAGAGGTATGTAATCTTTTGCAAATGGTTAGTAAATTGGAACTACCCCAATTACAATCTTGTTCATCACACAGGGCTGAATCACTCTGCCTGGGACGGGAGTCTCAGCCACAGCTCTGCTCAGCTCCCATTTCATAAATATTGTATACACATGATATTCTCAGCCATCTGCTTCGCTGGTTGCTGAGCACATTTTCTGACTCTCCAGTTGACTGCAGAGAGTGTAGGAGCTGGGCAGCCATCCTGCCTGCCTGCCTCAAAGCCCAGCTAGGCCTCCCTTTCACAAGGGCCCTGCTGACACTGTGTGCCTCAGGCTCGGTCCCACGGACACACCCCAAGCCCCACGGTGTTCTCCCTGAGGCCCAGGACTCTCATCAAGCAGAGACCTGGGAAGTGGGCCATGTCAGGAGGGCTCATCTCTAGATGGGGCCCATGGCAGCTGATAAAGGTGACTTAGAACAGGTGTTTCCCTCCCTGGGCTGCCAATCCCAGGGCTGGGGTGAGAAGTTCTGCCTCTGCTTTGTATGGGCAATGGTCTGAGACCATGGAGTCCTGCATTCAGTTTTCCCTGGCTGCCTGCCCAGCATCAGCGGCTGGGCTCATCTCTTCCATTTACCCCTTTGAGTGTGACCAGAGCTGCCCTCTCTGACCATTTGCTTTCCAAAAAACCCATTTCTTTCAGAGAGGCAATGGAGTATAGTGATTAAGAGTGAGAACCTCTGGGCCTAGGTTTAAATCCAGCCCCGCTATTTACTAGCTGTGTGATCCTGAGCAAATAGTTTAACCACTCTGTATCTGAGTTTCCCCATCTGTACAGTGCGTAGCATCATAATAATATTTACCCCATGCTCAGCAAGTGTCAGCTGTTATTTTGTTGCAAAGGAGTTTTGGCTCTCTTCCTACAGATTTGGCATCTTCCACAAAGGACACACCAGTGTACTTGGACAGGATGGACACAATAAGCAAGATAGGACAGGGCAAAGGAGAAGCGTTGGGTCTTTCTAAGCACTGATAGTGTGCTGGGCACTGTGTTTTATGGAGATTATTTCACTCCATTCTCACCATGCTTTCAAGCAGATATACAGTGTTATTGCACTTGTTGCACAGATGAAGAAGGTGGGGGTAAAGCATATTGAAAAGCAGATGTCTTGCTGCTACCTTGTTTAAAATTTCGTTTACTCTTTGTGTTAGGATGAAATTCAAAGTCCTACACAATCCTCCAAATCCAATTCTAGCCCACCTTCCTGTTCAGCCCTTATTGCCCTTCATATCCTACTTGTCAGACTGTTCTCCAGCTACATCTCACTCTCCCAATTCTGGGCCTTAGCGATGCTGTTTCTTTTGCTGAGGCGTTGGTTCCCCTTGCCTATTTTGCCTAAGTAATTCCCATTCATCCCTCAGGCTTGGACTTATACTCCTCCAGAGAAGCTTTCATCTCTAGTTTGGATCTGGAATGTTCCCAGGGTCTGTGTGTGGAAGGTTTATTTCCCAGCTTGGCCCACTGGGAGGTGGTGGAATCCTTAAGGGATGGGGCCTGCTAGTGGGAGGTCTTCAGGTTATTGGGGGGGGGGGGTCCTTGAAAGGGATGGTGGGATCCCAGCTCCTTTCTCTGCCTTTCTTTCTTTGGCTTCCTAGGCCATCAAGTGAGTGGCTTTGCCATTACCGTGTGCTTTTGCTATGATGTGCTGTCCTACCAGAGCCCCGAACAACAAATCATGGCTGAAACCTCTAATAACACTTTCCTCTTGATAAGTTGATTATCTCAGGTATGTGTTAAAGTGACAGAAAACTAACGCACTGTCTTTGAACTCCATTCCCAAGACTAGATAAGGCCCAAGTGGTATGTGCTTCCACAGCAACCGGTAGGTCTCATTCTTCATGCCTCTTACAACTGTAGCTAAATAGTCAAAGGTGCATGCGTGTGTGTGCGTGTGTGTGTGCGTGCGTGTGTGTGTGTGTGCGCGCGCGTGCGCAGATATGCTCTGGCTTCCTGGAGTGCCAGTCACAGAGCAGTTTCTATCAGTCGGGGGAGCCTGGGCTTTACAATGGAAACAGAAATCCTAAATCTCCTGTTTCTCTCTCAAGGTACATGTCCCATGGGGATGAACAGGGACCTCTGCTCTGCTTTGTCACTCAGAGTCCCAGACCCAGGACAGTGGAGACGTCAGCACTGAGTGGCTGCACCACGTGGAACACGTGGCCTTGGTGGCTGCAGCTGGGGAAGAGGGGACTGGAAAATGGTGTGCGATCAGGAAAAATGCAGCCTTAGGCCTGAGGGTCACACACCCTCTCTGTGCACTTCCACATACCCCTGCCCAACCAGAAGGGGCTGGGATAAGTACAGGAGCAAGTGGAATATTTGCTCTGTCACGGGGCCTCATGCAAGTTATTCCCTAGTCTGTTTTCATGCCTAGCACTTTGCTTGGCACATTATAGAGTCCCCCAAACCTGTGGATTGAATGAGGGTGCTATATACACTGATCAGGATCACACAGCCAACACAAGGTGCCAGTCCTTGACTGGCTTTGGAGCATGATCCTCAAATTTCCCAAACCTTTCACTCTTGTACTCTCCCTTGTCATCTCCCCCAGTTTATGGAATGCTTTTTTCTCTGAATGTAGAGAACAGAATATCATGCATTTAGCCACTTAATAGATTTGTCTTTCCTGATGAGGCTGATGAAAGTTGCATGTCCTCCAATCAGCCTTGCAATCAGCCATTCAGCCACTCACCCAAGACAAGTGGCAGTTCAAATACAGCTAACATTTCTTAAGTGCCTACTATGTGTCAGGTGCGTCCTCCAGCTAGGCCACGCAAAAGCCTAGTGAGGTGGGCTGTGTATTTCCTGCTTTGCAGATGGAGACTGACGCTGGGGAGTAAAGCCTAGATCCACTTGCAGGTGTGCTGGCTTTAAGCCGAGCACCTTTCCCCTGGTCAGGTAGTGATTTTCACAGTACAGCATGATTCCAGGTCCCCTGGAGGACTTGGAGGAAATGCACATTGCTGGGCCTCAATCCCAGAGTTTCCATGCAGTGAAAATGTGTGGGCCTGAGAATCTGCATTTTGATGCACTCTGTGCTCTTGTTCCCTGCTGGGGCTTCAGTGCCTGTTTGCTGGGAAACTCTGCCCTGTAGCTGCTATGGCTGAGGGTAAAGGATGAGATTCTCATTAGCTTGGCTCTGGTGTCTTGGCAGGGGAAGCGGGGGTTGGGAACATAACATCTCCGCGGCTGGTATTTGGTACTCCTCTGTGAGGCTGCCTGCAGTCGAAGTCTGTAAAATGAGGGGTTGGACTGGATGAGCTCTGGGGTGCTTGGCAGATCTGACGTTCTACATTCTATGATTGGATGAACTAAACCAAAGCTACAGATTCCATTTAAGTCTCTTCCTAGGTGAGAAGTGCTACAGACTAAAAATTATATAACAATAAATATCCAGGGAAGTCAAGGAGTTATGGAGTAGCCCCTGTGTGCTCAGCATATTGCAGGGCTGTGGGGAATCCAATGCAAGTGTAAGGTATAACTCTGCTGCTCAAGGTACTGACAGCTTGGCTGTGGAGCCAAAACACACACTTGAAACAATAGGGAAAAAATGGGTCAGGCTAGAGCCAGTGCTAATTCACCGGAGTCTGGCCAGGGGCTATCCACAGGGTTCAGAAAGCCCCAGCGGGGAGGCAAGACTCTCCATGTCCAGAAGTTTGACCATAACTTGTAGCTAACATTTGTGTAGCAGCGCAGCATTTTTACCTATACCAGCCCCACAGTCTTGAGTGAGGAGGATATTTTAAGTATGAAGAAACAAGCTCAGAGATTTGCCCCAGGTAGACTTGCATTAAGTGATGAAGGTGGGTTTGAACCCAAGTCTCCCCCTATCAAAGCCCATGATCTTCAAAAGTCTGGGCAGGAGTGAGGGAAATGATATGAGCAAAGATATACCAGGTGTCTAGGCCTAGCAGAGAGTCTACAGTGGAATGAACAGGCAAAAGAGGTTGGGTGGGTGAGGAGAATACCAACCTAGTAGGTATGAGAAGGTGACCTGAGGTCTCTGACTATGATGAAATTTGAATGATCATGGAATGGCTGCAAGAATTGTTTTATGTCCCTGACATACTCATCCCATCCTGGGGTGCTTGAGGGAATGACCAGGGCATAGGCTCAGCAGGGCAGAGAAGCAGAATTACTCAGCATCCTGGGGACTGTTTCTGCTGCTCCTCTGCAGGCCACCAATGGTCCTTACATTTTTGCGTGAATTAGAAATTCATGAAAATTGAACCCCTTCAAGAAGATTCAACTTGGTGTTAGGGCACGAAGCTTTGCTAGCAGAGGGTAGGCTGATCTGACACCCTTGGCAAGTGAACAATCCGTATCCACACTCACATGTGCCCATGTGCCCATGCAGTGTGTGCATGAGACAGCATCTTCTCCTTGCTTGGGGCATTCACTGGGTGGTGTGTGAGGGAGAGGTGGGAGATGGAAGCCTCTGTACTTCCAGCTGCTTTCTGAGTCTCTTCTAAAAGGGGCCACTAGCTGGGCTGGAAGCAGCCGTGAAAATAAAATCCACAAGGTCAGGAAGAAGCAGAGCAGGAACAGTGATGCTGATCCAACTTTAAGTTTAGTGTAACAAGAAGTGGCACAGGGGGGCTGAGTCAAGGGCAGTGGGACTTCTGAAGCTCCCCCTCCCCCGCTGGGCTGTTAATATGGAATACAAAGCTCAAGTCTTTATTACACACACAAAAGGTGGCCGCAGCAGAAGAGGGCGATCCAGTAAGAGAGGAGAGAGGAGAGCCACACACTGAAATCAATACTGCCCAGGACAAGCATTATCCCATGTGGAACACCTCAAGCCTCTGCCTAGAAAATTTGATTGGATCTTCAGAAAAACCTATTAGTGTGTTGTCAGGACCTTCTGGTGATAACTGACCAGCTCTTGCCAATCGATGCTCTTCACTTGTGGAGCTCCTGATTTTTTAACAGCATAATTGTTTTTTTAATAACGGGCTGGCTCACCCACTCAAGCAAGCGGGGAGTCAAAGTCAGACTCCCAACTTAAAATACAGAGAGCCATGATGCTCCAGCCACTTCTTCCTAATTGCACAATTACTTTGTAGAGCACCAAGATGGAACTCTGGGTGGGGGCTGAGGGCGAGGCCTTTTCAGACTGAGCGCCGCCGTTGTTAAGAAAAGTCACAGAAGTAATTACGCAAGTCAAAATTATTTACCAAATGAAAGCCATTCTTCACAAAAGAGCCTTTATTTTTAAAGAAAAAGGGTAAAAATAGGATGATCCCAGGATAGCGAAGACACCATAAAGCTACAGTGGAATTAGTTATCAATTATTACAAGTTTTTAAATTTTCAATCCGTAAGCAAGCAACACATTTTATTTGGGGTTTTAAATGCGCTATACCAACAGCAATATTTTTGCTCTTTACTGTACTTTAGATCTGAGATGTCACAGTACTTTACAAACAAATAACTCGAAACAATTTGAGATGGAGGCTCTTTATAGATGGAGAGCGGGCCAAGGGAGGAAGCGATTTGCCCAAGGTCACTGGCTGAATCAGAGGCACAGCTGGAAACACTACTCATGAATACTGGCTCCTGGAGTCGGAGCTCATCACCAGCAGCTCTCCTCCTCCCACACACCAAAACAAAAACCAAGAGCTGGAAAACTGCAGCAGGGCAGAGAAGTCACCTGCCCTTCAAAGCCCAGGGTGTCCGCCCCCAATCTGCTGTACAGCTCGGAAGCTGGGTATGCAGGTCAGACATCTCTGCAGATAGCTGCCGCTCAACCCACAAGTTTCACCTGCTAATGAGTCTAAAAGGCTCTATGCAGATTTGGGGCAGCTCAGCTTTCCATCCTGAGCCCCCAGAGTGCATTTGTCAGGTTCTGGCAAAGTATCAGCCTGGAAAAGGAGGGGGTTGATGGCTCATGAAACAGGTATATGCTGCCCACTTGGCAGGTCTTGGCCTTTCCTGGGCTGGATCTCTCCAGAACCTGTTCTGTGTACTCAGGGTCGGGTGCAAGATTCAGAGAAGAGAACAAGAAAGAACAAGAGAGGAGAGAACAGAACTGTTTAAAAACGTTTGCAGGGCCTAGAACCTCAATTCACAGAGGTGTTGTTCCACAGTAAGTCAAATACATCCCAACCCCACCTTGAACAACGCTTTATACGCAATTATTTACCAGCTTGGTTGCAGACTGGTTGACAATGTTATAGTTTTGTAGATATTTAATGAAACATCTCATAAATCTGCTCTGACATTTTTCTGGTCTTCTCTGAATTTTGGAACTCCCATTTTTTCTTTCCAGGTCTCAAATGTGTTCACAGACCCTGCAAACGTTTTTAGTGTATATATTGACCTTAATGGGTAAAACAGCCTACCAAGTTAGAAGGCAGGGATGGGGAAAAAAACAATGTTGGTCATGATAAAAAGAAACAAAATCAAAACTAAGCCAAAGTGAAAATTTAGCAAAGCAAGCAGAGGGATTTTGAGAAACCTTAGAACTTCTAGTTAGAAAGAAGACAGCTGGCTTTACCAGGATATTTCTAGGAAAGAGATGGACAAATGAAAGACCAATCCAACTATAGATGAAAAAAACCTCTCATTATTCAAGAATTTATTGAGCAAAGGGCCAGGTACTGCACTTGGCTTTGGAGATACAGAGCTGAATCAGATTCAGTCTACTCTCAAGGAATTTACTGTTTATTGAGGGAGGCAGGTAGGTAAACAGTCCAGATATGTGATAAGAACACAAACTGAGAGGCAAGTATGAGGAATTGAGAAAACAGAGGAACAACCTGAATCCACCTCCAGGGAGGAAGACACCCCCTGAGTATCCCAAGGCACAGAGGTGTAAATGGTGCTGAAATAAAGCTTAGCAATTACAGGGTGAGGGTCTGGGTCTTGGTGGTGGTGGGGGATCACAGGGTGAGACTGAAAGGTCAGACTAAGTTGATGGGAGATTGTGAGAATTTGAATTTATTCTGCAGTCAAATGTCAGCTGAGCATGGTTTTCAAGCAAGGGAGGGACCTGGTTGGTGCACTTGGGTTTAGGACTGATAATGGGCTGGGGAACAGGGACAGGGAAACCAAGAGAGGTTGTTACATTCCTTTGGATGAAGGCTCCTTTTAGGGCCAGGATGAGGCAAATAACGTGGAGATGATGAGTTTGGGTCAAACTTGAGAAGCGTTTAAGGAAAAATGGGCAGGAATTTGGAAGTGGAGGGGCACTGAGGTTTCTGGTCTGGAAGACTGATGATACTGTTCACTGAGAAAAGGGATATAAGGGAAGGAGTAAGTTTGGAGGAAACTTTTCATTTCATGACCCTAAAGCACATGCCATGCTAGGCAGGATGACGTCCTACTGAGATCTTTGAGAAGTCGCCAAGAAAATCCAGCAATGCTCTTATGAGGAGGGTAAATTGGGGACAGGCAGAGTCATGGATAGATTATGGTACTTGTTTGGGGCAGTCCTGACTAAGACAGAAATATGGCTCTAGAGAGCAGCCACTAGCAATCTGCTCATTCTGCTTCAAAAGAAAGGGGCTTGAAGTCTAGAGAGAGGGGAGAGGGACGAGAGATATGATTGATACCTCTAAGGCCATGTTGGGACCAGAACTCGGAATTCTGTTGTGGTTCATGGTTGAAGGGAGTTTATTGGAAGTCAGCTAATGAAAGCTCCCAGCTATCACCGCAAGCCTGTGCTCTTTCTGGCTAGGAATGCACCCTACATAACAGCCAGTGTGGTGGCAGGGTTGGACTGAGATGCTATTAGCTATCAATCACACCAAATTCATGGGGTTAGACTTCTGTCATCCAGAGCTGACCTTTTCCTAGCAGAAGAAGTAATGAGCTAGAAATAAGTGCCATCCAAAG